GAGACTTTTCATACGTTGAAGATCGATTATATAGATCTGAAAACGAATAATTAGTGCAAAAAAATTTTTTTTTATTGTTCGTTTGCCCAAAAATGCTTAAAATGCCAGAAACAGTCCAGGGTCTCCAATTTTTGAGCTATGAAGGATTTTTTTTTTTCAAAATTTTCGGAAAAATATGTGGAATAACAATTACAAGCTATTTTTTTTTAATTCGCCTCTTGCATGGCTAACTTTGCTTTTTTTGTATTTTTTTACACAAATAGTGATTTTTTTTATATGAAAAAAAAAGAAATCAGCTGTGTAAGAGTCAAATTCCAAAAAAACTGGCGCGTAATTGTTGTTCCACACATTTTTCCAGAAGTTAAAAAACAAACTCTAGCTCAAAAATAAACCGCCCCATTTATTTCCACTGAAAAATTCGCCTTCTTGTTACAATATTATAATAATTAATGGAATTAGTGGGAATTACTGTGCATTTGAATGTTTTCTAATCATTTTAACAATATTTTCGTTGCAAAATAAGAAATTCATGAATTTATTTCAATAAAAATCATTCAATTAAAGAAAATAAAACATTAATAATTTGTTCATTTAAAAGACACATCTCCTTTTTATTTGTTAACAGCAAAGAGGGGATAAAATTATTTAAAACATAATTTTAAATGATGAAATATTAATGTTTCGAAAAATTTTCATTTTTATTCAAATTAAATGACTCAAATCACGTGAATAATGTTGTCTTCTCCATGATTGATGGCTTCAGAGCAATAACTAGTCATGAATATTTCAATTATTAATTAAAATATTCATTAAAATATTATTAAAATATCGTTAATAAATTTCTATAATATTTATGTTTTAATGAATATAATTTTTTTAAATAAATATATTATTATTTTAATATTTATATTTGTTTCTTATTATATTTATTAAAATATCATTAATTATTGATTGAAATATTCGTGACTATTTGTTGCCGTCACCGGAATGACGATAATATTCCGGAGAATGCACGTCTGACCGAATGTTTCGCCCGACTACTTGCTCAGGAGTTGTGAATCATTGATGGTCGACAAGGTGGTGGGGACCCTCGTGTAGGAGATGACTGATGGACTCGGGAGAGAAATAGTTATTTTGGTGCAGGCCAAGGGGAATAGTTACATGAATATAATAAATGGGTTTATTAAAATAGTTCGTAACGGGGATTTTATTCAAACTCGAACTTGATTTTTATTTGAATTTTTATTGCGGTAAAATGAGCCGTTTTTTGAATGTAAGCAAATGTTTCTTCGATGCAAATTAATACTTTAGCGGGTGGGGATGAAAAAATTGTCTAGAAGATGAAGAGAAAGAATTTATTAACATGTAACAACGTTTTTTTTTGGATGAATGAGTATAAATATTTCTATTATAAATCGTTTTTCAAATGCAAATAAATGTTTTCTTGATGCAAAAGAGGACATTTTCAGTTGAAAAACGAATTATCATTCAAACAACAAAGAGAACGAATTTATTAATAAGTAATAATTCTTTATTCTGAATCAACGAATAGAAAAATTCCTATTATAAATAGTTTTTCAAATGCAAATAAATGTTTCCTTGATCCAAACGCGGGCATTTTCAGTTAAAAATCGAATTATTATTCAAACAACAAAGGAAACGAATTTACTGACATGTAATAATGATTTCTTCTGAACGAATGAATAGAAAAATTTCGAATAAAGACTTCTATTCAATTAAAATCCCTCATTTCTCCGTATGCATCATCTCCATTCAACCGGAAAAATTCCCGAACGCAATCGACTGCAATTCTTTCTTGATAAACATTTAAAATCAGCCCCCGCGATCGCTCCAAACCCCGTCAGAGAACGAAATTCCTCATAAATTCCCCGGAGAACCCCTAAATTCACATATTCCTCGAGCCGTGCGAGCGCAAAACGCATGATCCTTCCGCAATTCCCGAGTCCACAGGTACAAGGACTCCCTCAGCAACATCAAAGTTATGAAAACAAAATCTGGAGTGTACACACAGAAATGAGATGGTTTATTTTAATTAATTAATTTAATTTGAAGGAAGTAAATGGGAAAAAGGCTCGTAATGCACTGGATTTTCATTCGCGATTTTCAGATCAAATGAATAGTTTTTTAAATGTAAACGAATATTTTCTTGACTCCAATTAAGACATTTTCAACTAGAAATCGAATTATTATCAAAAGAACGACACAGCGAATTTATCAATTGTTATTAATTTAACAACAGATAATTAAATAGTTTAATAATTCTTTATTGTGAATGAATGAATAGAAAAATTTCGAATAATTTAGGATATCTAAATTATGAAAAAAAGACCTGGAATGTGCACACTTAAAGGGAACAGTTTAGTTTAATGAATAAACTTCATTTGAAGGAAATAAATGAGAAAATAGCTCGTAATGAACTGGATTTTGATTTACGTTTTTCACATTAAATAAATAGTCTCTTGAATGTCAACTCGATGTTAACCCAAATTGAATGATTATTCAGAAAATCGAATTATTTGACAGAAATCTAATTATTATTCAGATAACGAAGAGAACGAATTCATTAACACATAATAACTTTTTATTTTGAGTAAATGAATAGAAACACGTCTGTTATAAATATATTTTCAAATGTAAAGAAATGTTTTCTTGCCCCAAATGAAGACATTTTTAATTAGAAATCGAATTATTATTAAAACAACGACCCAGCGAATTTATCAATTGTTATTAACTTAACAACAGATAACTAAATAGTTTAATAATCCTTTATTGTGAACGAATGAATAGAAAAATTTCGAATAAAGTCTTCTATTCAATTAAAATGCCTCATTTCTCCGTATGCATAATCTCCATTCAACCGGAAAAATTCTCGAACGCAATCGACTGCAATTCTTTCTTGATAAACATTTACAATCAGCCCCCGCGATCGCTCCAACCCCCGTCAAAGAACGAAATTCCTCATAAATTCCCCGGAGAACCCCTAAATTCACATATTCCTCGAGCCGTGCGAGCGCAAAACGCATGATCCTTCCGCAATCCCCGAGTCTACAGGTGCAAGGACTCCCTCGGGGAGATCCAAACTACGAAAAAAAATCCACCTGGACTGTACATACTCACGGAATGGGAAGAGGAAAAAGCTCGCACGAGCTACACATACCCTCAGCTACCCTCTCCAGCCTGTAGCGTGCTCCAGACCGCGGGAGGCTGCGCGGAAAAATCGATAGACGAACCAACACCGGCGAGACTCAACGCTGTAACCGTACCGCGCAGTCAACCTCCAACCGCCGGGTCCGAACGAACGTTTCTCGCCGTTAATCCGCGAAAATAAACAATCGTTGAGTAAAAAAAAAATCACTGAGTCCAACGAATCCCTCGATCCGGTGAGATAATGATTTAAGTTCCGTGAAATGATTTTTAGAAGAAAAAAATGCGCAGAATTGTCCGACATTTTTTGTCACTTCCGGACGCGAGTAATTATTCGTTATAATTTTTTGTTTATACAATGCGGGATAAAAATGAAAATTGCATAAAATCCTGGGGATAATGGACCCATGAAAATCATGGAATTAAAAAAAATCTAATTATATTCATCTCACAATAAATAAAATAAAATAAAACGTCCGGAATTCCTCGGAACTCAATTCTTCGTCCTCAACAGGGATTTAATTCTCGTGTCATCCCCCCGAGATAATTCCACGAATAAAAAAGTCTCGCGTAAAAATGTCGAACGCGAACAATTGCAACTCCAGACCCAACATCAATCCTCGCTACAAAAATATCGTCATCAATTCCGAAGTTCGTTGACAGCCCCGAGCTAAATCAATTCTGAATTTTCCTCGCACGAGGAAATCACGTCTCCTCGCTTCCTACTCTAGTTCTATAGAATTGTAACAGGCTTTCTCCTTTCCACCGCCTCCTGCCGTCGTGCGGGTCATTGACCTCTCGCAGTGTTGCTGCCGGGGTCACGTTGTCGCGTTTTGCTTTAACCCCCTTGTGTCTTTCACGTACCCACATTTTCTGATATATTTCCTTTTGGCACGCCTCCGTTACCTCTATCTTATTTCATCGGGTTTTATTGCATTTGTTTTATCGCATTGTCTTTACATGTGTTTTTATCTCATTTTACGTGACAATTCCGGAAACCCGAATAATCATAATAATCGTAGTGATACTAAACACGATAAAAATACACGGAAAAATAAATATAAATAATAAACATTTTATAGAAAATTGTTTATAATAAAAAATCCTGTAAAATTAAAAATGGACAGTTTTGATTTTTTTTCTAATATCTAAAATTCAGGAAGAAATTTATAAATTGAAGTCAGACTCATCATAAAGGGAAATTATTCTTCTCTTCACGGAAAAAAAATTATACCGTTTCATTGAACATGTGTTTTTATTTTTTTTGTAATGTGAAAATCCCATAAAACTAATAATAATAATAATAATAATAATAATAATGATAATATTATTTGATATAATTTTTTATAATAAAAAATTATATAAAATAATGTTAAATGATATAAAATTTATTAATTAAAGTGACACTCATCACAAAAGCAAACAATTGTAATTTCAAAAAAAAAATTATAAATAAAATAATTTAATTAAACCGCTTCATTAAATTAAATGAGTCATTGATATTTGAAAAAAGTCAAAAGTGTCCGTTTTGCCTCCATTTCATAATAAATAAAATGAGAGTAATAAATTATCTAAAATAAATAAATGAATTAGTAAATGAACGAATGCATGAATTACGATTTATATTTTTATTTTTGCAGCTAGTTTTGTATCGAAAGAGTAGAATCAATATTTGTGAAAAGTTTGGGATAAAATTCCAATTAACCTAGATCAAGTTGATTGAACATGCTGTATTTAATCGAAATAGTCGTTTACATTTGCAACATACGAATTGATGTAAATGAGGGGGTGGAGGGGCCGGCGAGGGACGGGGCGCAACGGCTTTTTATGAGGGAGTATTGAGGCTTGGGTGAGGGGACTGGATCTCGTGTGGAGTAACGTGATCGTTCTTACATGCTGTCATCTGGGTTTTTGGAGGCGCGGGGATGATTGGGGAGAGGAGTGACCACTGATCGATTGAGTGAAACGCTGCGGTTCTCTTTGTTAGGGGTGATTGTTGGATCGGTGGTTGGAGACATCGGTGGAGAGGCTGGGGGATGTGAGATGGCACGGGGATTTTTCAGTGCGAGAGGTGGTGGTGGGTGCCTCGGGCTGTCTGTTAATCCTGGGTGCCATGGACGAGCCCGGAGAAGCAGTCAATGGGGTGTGGGAGGAACACTCGTTCATTGAGGTGAGAAATTATTGAGGGGAAGGGGGCTTGAGGGTGGGGAATTTTAAGGGGGATTGGGGCAACGTAATATGCTCATCATTATTGAACAACTGATTTCAGCCAATTTATGGTCACAAATCGGCAAAAAAAAAACAAGACCTTCTCACTTTAAAAAATGGAAAAACGTCATTTTAAAAAATTCTGTATGCACATTTTTTCAGGGCAGTTTATTTACTTGTAGAACAAAATTTCTAAATATATATGGAGTTTTCAAGAAAACACATGTTATGCTATTTCATTCATTATATGGAATAAACAACAATTTTTTTGTAATTTATGTATTAATTAATTGATTCACTTAAATAAAATAATTAATTAATTAATTAATTATTTATTAATTGTATAAAATATACAATAATAAATAAATAATTGTATTGTTTTATTTATTAATTATTTTATTTAATTGAATTAATTAATAAATATTAATTTATTTATTTTTACATAATATGTAAATACGTGAAAGATTGTCAACTGCAGATATAATTACATAATCGCTTGAGGATATCCAAGTACTTTGGCAATTTTTTGTCCAGCGAAATGCTTTTTAATTTTTTTAGTCGGTTAGAGTGTTCATTTGAGCCCCATTTGACCCTAAGTTTCCGGGAATTTTGCAATGATTTTATTATTTAAACTCTGCAGGTCTGAATTTCAATCTCGATATTAAACCGTTACAAAACATTTTAAAAGATTAAAAGATTAAAACATGTTAAAGATTAATGAACTGATTTTAAAATTGCAATTTTTGAAAATATTCAGCATTTTCTATGAATAGTTTATAAACAATCAATTTTCAATAGCAAAAATAGTCTCTTCGGAATCGTAACAAATTCATTCATATTCAGAATTTTACTGGAAATCTATTTCATGCCTAAAAAAATAGATTTCCGAAAGTTTAAACAATTTCAATTATTTATTTATAAACAACGAATATTTAAAAAACAATAATTATGCGCAAACTGTAATTTTGATGACGCTGAATATTCATGATTCCATCATATCCTTGAAAATCATAATTTGATGATAAAATCGAAGGGAATCGTAGAATTTCGTCAAATTAGTCGAAATTAATGAAATTAAAGTAATTTCCCTAATTTTACTAATCGCTATTGTTATTCACCCTAAAAGTACTATTATTGTATTCAAGTATCGATCCATTCCTGCATATTGATATTCTCACACAGTAATTTTCCAGTTCGAGGCATTCTCTAAATATTTAGCACACCAGTCCGAGACACCAATGTTCATCCCTATGTTTTCTCTACTAATTCAACTCGGAGAAAAGCTACGACGTCGCAGCTCCTCCATTTTATCCGTCCACTCAACTTTCTTCATCCTCACATACAGAACTACAAGACCAGTTGCACTATCCGTTTCGCTATACTCTCCGGTAGTTGGAGTTTTGAAATTGGAGAGCACTTGCTCATGATAAAGTTCAGGGAAGTTAGTCCTCCCGGTACTTGATTAAGGTAGTACGGTCACACCGACGGTTGAAGAGGAGGAAATCAGATTTGTTTTGAATGAGAGTTCATGTGAATGGGAACACTCTGGCGCGATTTCAGTTCAATTGACCGTTTACTGTGCTAGGTAATAATAAATAACAAATTACGAAGTAGGGAATAACGCGATATTTGAGCGGAAAACTTCGCTAGATCAATTGGCAACGCAGAGTGAAGTCCGGAAAACAAGTGGGAATTTTTTTTAATGCTTTCTTTGTAGATAAATATAAATAAATTGCCCTGATGAGGAGTGGATATACCGCTCGAAACGTTAGCAAGTAGTGAAGATTTGTGTTTTTAATTCAATTGGAGGGTAAAATCGCTGAGAACCGCAAAATGCCCTGGAGGAGTAGGAGAAATCTAGATAATTATACTGGCGGTTGGAAAAATCATTTTGTTGGAAGTGGGAAATTGCTTGCGTCACACATAGTCAATATCGACATCTCCTAATAAACAAGGGTATTTCAATTTTCTTTTTAAAACAGGGGGATCTCAAAACTCATGTGAAAGCTTGCAGTTCACATCAATTTCCAAGTCTCACGGAGATCGCAAATCATTTTATTTCTCTCCCAATGTGAACTGCTTCATGTTATTTACACTTTTTGATGCATTCATACCATTTATACAGCTGTCGAGAGAAGGAAAACGTGAGATTCAGACGATTTTTCACGTGAATGCTAGTCTTAACGCGAATTTTGAGATATTCTTGTTCTAAAAAGAAAATTCAGTAGCGAAGTCGTGAAACGGTTTAAGTCGACTTATCGTTTAGTTGAGTTTTTCAAGAATATCTCCGAATCTAAAGGAGATGGGGAGATTTTTGTAATTAACTTTTTTCTAGAGCAAACTGAGAGCTACAAGAAAGGTCTAGACAAAAATTCAGCTATCTCCCTGAGATTCCGAGATATTCAATAAAAACTGGCCGATTGTCAAAATCGACTTAAACCGCTTTACCACTTCGCTACTGAATTGAAATACTCTTGTTTTATTAGGAGACGTCGATATATTTTTGGTGATAAATTAGTAATTTGCTTCCGAATGGAATTTACGCGACGATTTATTTTAAATTGAATCCAATTCAGTAGCGAAGTAGTAAAACGGTTCAAGTCAATTTTGACTATTGGCCACTTTTCAATGAATATCTCGAAATCTTAGGGAGATAGCAAAATTTTTGGTATTACCTTTTTTGTAGAGAAGATTCAGAGCTACAACAAATGTAGTTACGAAAATTTCGGTATCTCCCTTAGATTCGGAAATATTCCTCAAAAACTCAACTGGGAGATGAGTCGACTTGAACCGTTTTACCACTTCGCTACTGAATTATTCATTGTTTATTACTATTATTCTAGTAGTTTTTCGTCAATTTTATTGCACCATTCTGCGTTTTTTCTGTTTTGTTTTGTCAACAGAGATGTTTAGTAGAAAATATTTAATAGAGAAAGTTGATGGTGCTATTCAGAGAAAAAAATTAGCTCCGGCGATAAATTATGTTCCACGTGAGAATATTTGATGGAGTAGACCAGATTTACTTGAGGGAAATTAACTCCATAAAAGAAAATTTAATATCTTTCACAAAAATTGAATTTTTGTCGTGATCATCAGAAATATCCCTAGAAGAATTCGAACTGTTGGCAGGAAAAAATATAATCTATTGCCCGACAATCATTCGATCTGAGAGAACTCCATAGGTTTATACCAAAGAAAGAATACACTGACGAGGAAAGAATATTTTTTTCCCAACAAAAATTGTCCCCTCGAAATTATTTAGTTTTGCCAATAACACAGTTATCGGCAAGAAAATTGTAGTTTCCTCTTGAAATTATCATTTGTTCCGTGGAAATGATAAGTGTTTATTGCACAAAGATATGCACTACTCAATAACATTCACCTGATAAAACCGGAGCCTCATATAATTCTCTGTAGAACGAATGTATTTACCCGAAAGACCTATAAATGTCTCACGAGAACAATTACCACTACGAAAATGATCATGTTTTGGTGGAAACTTTCTTTTTTATCCACAAGTAAATTGATTCAACACGACTTTTGGAGGCAATCCTGCTCAGCAGATTCTCCCGCATTTCGCATTGTCCCATTCCCATGGACGTCTCTCGTCATATAATACCTGAAAACGGAAAAATCGTCGAATTGACGGCGCATCATGTGCGCCACTGACGGCGGAGAGAGCAGGAAGTTGGAAATAGCATGAAGCTTCTGCTCGTATTTTCCTTCCTGCTCAAGCTTTACAATCAGCTATCTCCCTCAGCAGAATCGCACACTCGAGCGCAGTTTCTCATTTCTGCACGTTTTTACCTTTTATCAGGGATTTTCAATGTAGACCTGAAAATAAATTCTCAATGTTCACTCGTGATGACGAGGTTTTAATGGATTTGTGTCGATAAACATTTTGCTCAGGACGTTAGCCTCTCTGGGTTGAATGACGAGGGATCAGAATGAACCGGCGTGATCAGGATCCGCTGCTGCGTCAGCACTGTAGTCGTCTTCTGCAACTAGCTGAGACGACTAATATAAAACCTGGTCGGGGGAGTGGGAAGAGACGAGGGCAGAAGGGCCATGGATTCACATCAAGGTAAAAATTTGAGGATTAAATTTTAATCTAATATCGGTCACTTATTCCAGAAAAATTTATAGGAATTGAATTGAGTAGCGAAACGGCAAAACTGTTCAAGTCGGCTTTGACTGTTGGTCCGATTTCCCGAAATACCTCGGAATCTGAGGGAAATAGCAGAATTTTTGTCAAAACCTTTTTTGTAGAGAAAATTAATAGCTACAAAAAAGGTTATTATGAAAATTTCGCTATCTCCCTGAGATTCGGAGATATTCTTCGAAAGCTCGTGATATAAATAGAATCGATTTTGTTAGGGAAAATTCAGGGAATTCCTGTATAATTTATAAAAAAATGCAATTGTCAAATTTCGGAATTCTCGTGTCGCCAAAAAATTAGGAATTTCGATGTTCCCCCCGTAATTTATGGAATTGTTCCGAAATTCAATAGCCGAGTGACGTAACACATTTAGCCAATGGAACCTCCTCTCAAACCCAATCGGTCCCGCAGTCATAGTTTCAATATTTTTTCCACCCCAGCTCCCACATCCCAAAGGAAAAAAAATATATTCAGTTATTATGCCCATATAGAGTGACCCACTTTGATGAATTATATTCACACAATTCGGCGACACGAATAGCTCTTATCATTCTACCGGAATTTCCATCCCCACGAGCAACCACATACACCCACTATAACTCGGCGCGCCATGCACTCTCCGCCCAGTCCGTTTGCTCCAGGAAAATCGATTATCGAAGTTACGTAACCAAGAGGATTGATTCAGATTGACTTTTAGGCCTATGCTATTTCCAGTGAGAAATTGAATAGATTCGGGGTACGAGGGACTGGGCCATTTGCTTGATTTTTATATCCAGTAAAGGGGAAAAAACTTGAAATCGATCCAATTCAATCCTCATGATTTCCAGCAATGCTGGTAGTGGGGCACGGATTACACTCCAGGACATCGTGAGAAATGATCCCAGTTATACGCCTAACATTGAGCATTTGGTATTCCCGGAGCGCAAGAGAAGTAATCCGAATTTGTCTGGTAAGAGTGGCAATTCGTCCGCTAAGGGTAAGACTACCAATCCGACAGCGTCGACTGCCAAATCTAGACTTGTGGAAGTCTTTGCGCGTCCTTACATGCGGGGATCTTCATTGCAGGATTCGGTCAATGCCAGGAATAATCATTTTAATGTGAGTAAATTCACTGTTTTGTGGAGAATAACACTTTTACCTTTTCGAATAAATTTCAAGGAAAAACTTAGTGCATGAAAAGTTCTGTTGGATGTTTGTCAGAAATTCTGTCGGTTTTTTTGGCGAATCTATTGAAGTATTCCGCTATTCCTTCGGCACGGTATTATAAGAAAATGTTTTATAGAAAAAATCATTAGATTTTGATATTTCACCACTGGGCAAGTCCAATTCACAGATCAAATGTATTGAATTCTCGCCAGCAATTATATAGATTTACTCTAGAATTCTATAGATTTTCATAATATTCAGTTCCATATTTGCATGTCGCTCGGATCGTAAATGTGAATTTTCTATTGAAAAATCTATAGAAAAATTCTATAGAGGATACCAATATCAATTTTTTACCCATGAATTCATTATTTATCACACAAATCTGAGCCGGACAATTTATGAAATACCTATAAAATTTTCTATAGACTTTCAATTGAATCTTCTATAGATTTCCCAATTGGACAAGTCAAATTGGTCACAGATTAGATCTATTCAATGCTCTACAGAAATTCTATAGACTTATTCTAGAATTCTATAGAACTTCTATAGAATAAATTCTATAGAATTCTATAGATTTACTCTAGAATTCTATAGAATTTCATATTTTCATGAGTTACCCGAATCCTAAAGGTTTATTTTCTATTAAAAAAATCCAAAATATCTATCAAATTTTCTATAGACTTTCGCTCAAATTTCCTCTAGATTTCCCCACTGGGTAAGTCAAAATCGTCACAGATAAAATCTATAGAATTTTCAACAGAAATTCTATCGACTCTCTCCAAAATTCTATAGAATTCCACAATATTCCACACATCCTCCGAACCATGAAAGTTCATTTTCTATAAAAAATCTATAAAAAAATCCTATAGCACATGCCACTCCCAATCCCCCAGACATGAATTGAATAAACATTCATACCTGCGCCAATGTTGCGACCAGTTACCCCACAGTCTGTCCTCCAAAACGAGTTTCTAATGATGTAGTAATCTCGATCGACATGTCCCCGTGGGGAGATGTTCTCCTACAGTTCACTCTCGCCTCTCAATATTCCCCACAAAAAAAATGAATGAAAAAAAAATATATGAAAGCCACTTTGATCCCAGAGTACTTCGTTGGACAGCGGAAGTGGTGGTAGTGTAACAGCAGGTCATCAGCCAGTCTCAGGATCATCAAGGTTATCCAGTCAGCGTCGGTGGTTGTCCCAGACATCTCAACAATCGTCCCGGCAGCAGTCGAGCGAGGATGGGGGGAGCCACGTGGGTGTCGTGGGCGTCAGCACTGGAACTACGACCTCATCTTCGGTACAGCAACCTCGGCGAGTCAGTCCCGCGTCGGATTCTAACGAGATCGCGGACTCGACGGCTAATTCGGTCCTCAGGATCGATCGCGACAGAACCGATAGGTAAAATCGGGATACCTCGCTTTTATAAGTCTTGCTCTTCTGTGTGCTATTTTTATCTATGATGATTGAACTATATCGGCTGGAGACGACGGAGAAAAGGTGAACGTGACTATTATTCCAAGTTTATTGACTAGCATTTCCAAATTCCGGTGATCTTCGCGAGTAATCGCGAAGTTCACACTTCGCGTTAAATCGCGATGTTAACATGATTGTGGATGGTCGTATTTTTGCATATTAAAAAAAAAAAAAAAAATCAAAAAAAAAATTCTAAGAGAATTAGAATTTAGAGAGAAAAAATTTCCGCTTCACCCAGCCGGGAATCGAACCCGGGTCTCCCAGATATGCGCCGGGCACTCTTACCGACTAAGCTACCGGGAACCACAACCGTAAATTGGCTGGAATTAGTCCCGCATTGATTTAGATTTCCATTCAGTCTTCGGCGAATGTTTGAATGTAAAGAAAATGTTGAAATTTTTACCCAAAGAAAAAACTTACTGATCTTATGAAACTATCCACTCAATTTCAGAAGAAAAATCTGGTAAATTTCTTCGATTATCTCAATTAGATCTCATAAAAATCAAATTTTTCTGTTCACACGTGTTTCCCCGAGAAAATGTTACAATCATGTTCTACCGCTTTCGTCCCCCACGAAGAACCCCTCAACTTAACCCCCCTTCAATTGCCTGTTCAGGGGAAACATCTCCATCCTCCACCTGCGCGGTGCCTCCTCAACGGAGAGTTGGGAGTCAACAAAGCCCTGCCGACCAACCAGACCCACCATCTACAACCGTACAAGTTCAATCCCCAACCCAAAACGTCACGAGCCCTCCCCAAAAGGCAGCGTAACAAGCATCGTAAACCTCCCATCAACAGCACCACCGAGAAATCACCACTGCCGCGAGGGAAATCACCGGCGTCGTGACACATCAAACTCATTCTTCACCGGTAGCAGCGGAACATCCGGTGAATTGTTCATAAGTGGTGAATGCAGCCGAGAGCTGTCCCCGGTGCGCTGGTGCGATCGCGAAGTTGATGGCGTTTACCTAGGAAGATCTGGCTGGGTGCAGGTGCAGCAGCGATCACTCGACGAGAATCGCAAAAGTAATTACGAAACCGGACAAGTCACCAACAACAGCGGCACAAGTGGAACAATTCCATTATCCCGACGTGCTGTTAAATTGGCTGATTACCATTGCACCAACAGCGAGCCGGGAAAGTGTCCGGAGTACACCAGAAGTTTAACCCTGGATTCCACCCCTCGACCAGACTTCCTGAAGCTCCAGAGCACGGATTACGAGCCACCTAGTGGTTGTGCATCACCCCACAGCATAGAATCCTTCTCGCCACCCTCGGTGACCCCGATAATATCCCCCCCGCCAGCCTTCCAGGACGTGGCCAAAAAGACCCGTTCGCGTAGCACATACCCAAAGGCTCCATTTCTCCCCCGATCAAACGCAATTATCGACAGCGATGTCATCAGTCCGCCGTCCTCCCCGCCGCCCAAAAATTGGGGATCTCAGACGAGAAAAGTAATTGGCACGCCAATTAAGCCGAGACCGAGACGTCAGTCCCAAATGTCGAGTGGTAATCACCAGAAACCGGTGCAGGACAAGCAATATCGCTTGCTGTCAGCCAAATCCCTGGAGGACCAGTCCACCACTCGGCGAATACAGTTTGCCCAGAGATACCGCGAGTCGTCCTCGTCATCCTCATCGTCAATGGGCTTCCGGAGTCTCGACAGCTTCGTCAGTCGTAACACAATGCCGAGACTAGCTGAAAACACAGACTCATCGGTTGAGGGGTACGAGGATGGCGACGAGGATGACAATCCAGACTCTTCTCTGAATCTGGGAGTGAAGTCTCCGAGTCCGCTTGACTCCTCGCCAGACGGCAAGACGTCTGTCGCTCAGGAGAGGTTGTCCAGGAAGCCCTTGAGGAAATCTCCGGGTTCGTCTGACGCTGGGAAGCTGTCGTTTGATTCGACCTCGTCGTCCTCGTCACCATCTACGTCCTCGAACAGTGGCACTGGGAGATCGCCGAATAGTTTCAAAAGGTCGAGTCAGCGGGGACAGCATCAGGGCTTTAGGAATACTCTGGGATCGCCGGATTCTCTGCAGACTTCTCGAGTCAGGCGGTCTAAGAGCCTTCAATTGCCGGAGAAACGCTCGCCTGGCGCACACCAGGCCCCCAGGGAGCATTTTAATGATGCTAGGGTTGTCAAGATTGCTGACAAGCCCGCGACGGCGGAGAGGAGTAAGAGATATCCGCTGTCTACTCGTAATTATTATTCATTTTATTATGGTGGGACTCCTTTTTTCTCAAGTCTTCTGGGGTTACGCGGCTCTTCATCCGGTGACATTTTGTCATAACAATGTCATTGATGTTATGTCATTCAATATTAATGAGGGCAAAACATATAGGGGCTTTTGGGGGTTGATATTAGCTGTTAGATTTGGTAGGGCTAGGTATAAACGCTTCATCATGCCTTCTTTTCCATTTAACTTAATACCTTGATATAACTAAAAGTTGGATTTTGCCTCATGAAAGGAAGTGCCGAGTGGCAACACCCGTAATCTATGTGAGCATTGATAATAGTATTCAGGTTTATATTTTATATTTCACGTTTTTTTGGGCTCAATGGCGTAAAATATTGTATCTCACATGGCGATAAAAGCATTTAACATTGATTTAGTTTATTTGTTTATTCAAGTCAAGATAGCCGAAGTCAATTACAAGACCTACAAATAGTATGGAAATAATAAACGCACAGCAGTTTATATTTAAACATTATTAAAAATAACATTAATTTAAATGGGAGTTGCGAAGACAAAAACGTAAATATCTCGGAAACTAGAGTCGACAAAGTGCGCCCTTTTCATGTGGATGCGCACATATGATGTTCCAAAGAGATTTAAATTCATTAATAGCGATCTGTGAAGTGTCTTAGGAAGAATTATCTTGTAATCCTTCTGGGATTCCCCTTATTCCATGATTTCTCTTTACCTTTGTTACACAGTGCCAAATGGTGCGCATGCGCACTGGATCGCGGATGGTTATGTTCAGTGAGTTTGAAAAGGAGCAACGATTTTGCATTTTTTTGTCATTTTGCTGATGCTCTCTCACTTCCCATAGAATTCAAACAGTTTGTCGTAACAGAATTATCGTTTAATCCTTCTGGGATTCCCCTTATTCTATGATTTCTCTTTATGTTTGCTACTCACTGCCAAATGGTGCGCATGCGCACTGGATCGCGGATGGTTATGTTGAGTGAATTCTCATAAAATTCAAACAGTTTCTGCATTTTCCATAAAAATCTTCACTCAAACGTTTTACTCAAATTGTCTCATTTGTTAAGGACTCCAATGAGAGAGTTTAGGGTGAGCGTCTGCAGCAAGATCCAATACTTGAAAATTTTCATATAAATCCTTTCATTCTTTCTCTGAAATTCTCAATCCAAATGTTATAAATAGATCTGTTGATGCTTTTGGATTGAAGCAAACTTATTTTTCTTTTATCAAAAATGTGGTTAGCTCTATTCATTTTTTGACTTTCAAAATTGGAACAGAAATTATATTTTCTGCAAATAATGAGATGCATATGAAATTGAAAACTTCAGAATATTCATTTCAAGAGTTGTCAGCCCTTCAGTTATCATCATTGCAAAACCGATTGCTTGCAGTCTGGATAATAATCCCGTGGGGTTATGGAGACCAGCATGTTATGCGCAGCAACTTGCGCAGTAGCACCATTAGCTTATTGAAGATGAAGAAGTCAAGGAGAATGTAGATAGATGGAAGGCAATTTATTATGTCCCTACGATCCAGAAGATCCTCTTACGGAAAACCAGAATACATGACTTACATAAGAATTGGCTCCGAAACGATGCAAAATCAGATACATTCGTCGTGATCAACGGAAATTCAGCTAGTTCCTTCATTTCCAAATGCAGAAGAACTAGAATCAATTCTCAAGTCCAACCCTTGAAATTTGCCAGAATATAACGGAAAAAACTCTTATAATCGAATAATCAAATAAGGGTTTGACCCTTGTGACCTTGTTTTACCCTGTGACCCTTATGGCCCTTATGACCCTAAAGGTCCCCAATTGGGATTGTGACCCTAAAGGGCCGCAATCCCATCCAATCATAATGATCAGTAAAACAATCATTAATTAAACAATGATCAATTAAATTTATAATTATCTGCTGGAGTAGTTATACCCTCGGATTCCCAAGAAATTGAGAAAGCAGGAGTCCCGCACCCCCACGGCCCCCACCACCCCATAAGCACATAATCCATTTTAGGTAAAGCTCAGTCAACCGAAGAAGCCCTAAACCTAGGGCTCCTCCGCGAGGCGGAAGTAGTAACGGAATACCTCTACGGCACAAGAAGCCGGGCAGCTGCTAGGAGCATCATCTCGAGTCACTTTGACTCACGCGAAGAAGCCCAGGAGCGGCACGAGCCCTACGACATCTACTTCATATCCTCCAAGCAACCCCGATCCCAGCAAGACCGACGCGCGAAGAGTCTTCAGCGTGGCGCCACAACCCCGAGCACCAATACCTTGATGAACGACGTTAACAAAATGCGGTGTAACACGAGTACTTGCAACTACTGGCCGCACTGCTCCGAGGGCCTTTACTCGCCGAATCAGCCCCAGCCCTTGATGAAGGTCTCCCAGAGTTATCCGACCCACCGAAGGGTCTCGACGGACAGCGTCATCAGCCAATCGAAGGATCGCACGAGTGCGTGCTCGTCGCCGGCGTCACTAGATGTCGTTGATGATCGTGAGACGCGGAAGACGCATGGCCGGAAGGAGGTGAAGAGCGCGATGAAGCGTACTTCGCCGAACAGCTACGAGGGGGCGACCAGGTGGGAGTACAGGAACGCTCGGGCGTCACCGGAAGTGCTGAAGAATGTCGGGGTGTCGACCAATGGCACGTCTTCTGTTACCACTTCGTCGTCGTCCAGCAGTGACATCTGGATTACTACGTCGGATAGGACTGTGACGAAGAGCCCGAAGAATCCCAAGAGCAGCGGAGGCTCGACGCCGATGGAGGATACCATTGTCGAGGGCGCCAAGGGGGGCGAACCTGTCAGGGATAAGGAACACGCCCGCCCCGGAAGTGCTCCCGCCAAACGGGAAATTTCACCGGAAGCTCAGGGCTCGCTTGAACCCCATCAGAGGTCCTCTTCGTTGCCAAAGTCCTTCCTCACGCTGGAGTCGACGGCTGAAGGGTGAGTTTTTAGCGGTTTTGTGATTAAAGATTTAGCGAGGTAGTAATTTAGGGATAATTATTCGCACTGCAAAAAGCAATACGCGGGATGGGGAGCAAATGGCGTAGATTGCCAGCTGTTGAATTTTCATATTAGGGGAGGATGGGGCAAAACGGCCCCCCTTCAATCGTCAATATTTTCCGATTCAATAATCCGATTGGGATGAGTTAGAGCTCGTTTTGAAGAATGAAAAATTATCTTCAAAATGAAGTTGAAACTGGGAATTTTCACAATGTCATTCACAAGTTATTGACAATTGAAGGGGGGCCGTTTTGCCCCATCCTCCCCTATGATAAATCATTTGTTCGTGTTCTGATTACGATGGTCACTGATTTTAATCGTAATTACAATTCAATGCCTTCTAGAACACACCTTAGAGTGAGAATTTCTGGAAATGAATGTTTGTTGATACTCTAGTAAAAGCGCGTGCCACACTGTTATCAATTTTTAGTTAGTTCACACGGTAATTGAATTAATTTGCTGTTCATCTCATCAATGTAATTCCGTGCTTAGAATATTGTCATCTCGTGTTTTCAGCACCAAATTGAAAATTAAAACTTCATTTGGAATATTGAGTCACAGCTTCTTTTTTTCATATCAGAAATTTTGTATTTGGATATTAATATTATTTGTTCAAAGTGAAAAATCGATCACCATTTTCACAATATTGCATTCAGATTCTCCTATCCTTAACGTCAAAAATGTGGGATAATCTCATAATTCTAGATATTAATTCTAATCAACTTTCTTCGAAGAAAACATTAGTAATCCCAATATTAAGAAAGTAGAATTATTCTGTTATCCTCTGACCTAAATGATTTGGAAAATTATGATTCGTTTATTCGTGTTTCATAGAATGGTATTCAATTCTCTTTTGTTCGAGATATTGCCCACACTTTTTTTTAGAAAGGAAAAGAAATGATAAAGTCAAAATTATTAATCACACGATTCAATAGCTGTTGTTGAAATCTAAACTGCAGTATAAAAATCTGAAATTCTTGCCAAGAATAGAAAATAAAAAAGTGTTTTATTGAGCTTGACAATGAGACCAAATTGGTGCGAATCGTATCATTCGGCCAGCAGACATTGTGGATTAAAAAGGGCCAATATTCTGCTATCCGTCGTAACATTCCGCGATTCACAATTTTCAAGGCAATTTCTCACATTCTCCAAGCCCCGCATGAATCCATTTCACCGAATATTACGCAACCCCATATTTTCAGCGTGACGACGGTGCGGTAGTTTAAATCGTAATTGAGTTACGTACGAGCGTTAATTAGAAAACCACCGATGGAAATGATTGTTTCATCGCACTTTGATCGATAATGTAGAACCACAGGAGCTGTTGCTCTGGCCCTCCATGTGTAACACAAACGGTACATCATATATAACATTGTATTGTCGGGCTTACTAATGGCGCAATTACCAAAGCGTCACGTCCAGCGCGTAGATAAACTAGGGAGCAAGGGTGTGGGAACAAATTTCTCGGGGGTTTCTGGACACCTGTGTGTATTAGTTAACAGCGAGTTCTAGTGAATCAATGGTTAGTATATCAACTGAGTACAAACTCAGTTGCAAAACTAACATTGGGTGGCTGATGAATCCGGAATTGGCTCTGGGGAAAGTATATTATATTTTTATTTCCTATCAAACGAAAAAATACCGAAAAATTACGTTGCCCTGAAGAGATCTTTTGTCGTGTTGAATCAATTTACTTGTGGACAAAAAGAAAGTTTCCACCAAAACATGATAATTTTCGTAGTAGTAATTGTTCTCGTGAGAAATTTATATGGCTTTCGGGTAAATACATTCGTTCTACAGAGAATTATGTGAGGCTCCGGTTTTATCAAGTGAATGTTATTGAGTAGTGTATATTTTTGTCCAATAAACACTTATAATTTCCATGGAACAACTGATAATTTCAAGAGGAAACCGCAATTTTCTTGCCGATAACTGTGTTATTGGCAAAACTAAATAATTTCGAGGGGACAATTTTTTTTGGGAAAAACATATTCTTTCCTCGTCAATGTATTCTTTCTATGGTATAAACCTATGGAGTTCTCTCAGATCAAATGATTGTCGTACAATAGATTATATTTTTTCCTGCCAACAGTTCGAATTCTTCTAGGGATTTTTCTGATGATCACGACGAAAATTTAATTTTTGTGAAAGATATTAAATTTTCTTCTATCTAGTTGGTTAATTTCCCTGAAGTAAAGCTGTTCCGCTCCATCAAACATTCTCACGTGGAACATATAGTGTTTCGGCAGGACTAATTTTTTCTCTCAGTGCAATTTCAATTTTTTTGGATTTTCGAAAAAAATTTCTATTCATCTCAACGCTACTTTTGAGGGGAATTAAATTAAATCATGTATTTGTTTCAATGAAAATCTTTTAATTGCGTAGAGTAAATAATTTATTCATTCCAAGTAAAGGATTATCAGGGGTTCACATATTTGTTCTCTTCAGTGTGCAAATGTGGAGCATAACTCCTCAAAAAAATATTGTTCCTCTCTAAAAATGGAGTTTAGTAAGCAAAGCTTGCATCCGCCCTTTGCTATTATAGATAATCGATAACAAAAGCTGTCTTGCTCCCTGCATACACAGGAATCTGAACAATTCACATTATAGAAGACAACCACGAACCCATGGTTTCCCGTTTACCGAGAATACAGTATGGAAACCACTATCTCTGTAATATTTCTCCGCTGTAGAACTTGGTACACCCGCTATGGGGAAAGCCCATTGTCTGGTCGGTGTTGACGGAAAATCTGTGTACATTCACATCTCCATTATTGTTTCATTTCCCCTCTTCCATCGCGTGAAGCTGCCCTTTTTTCCTGTAGCCTCATCAAAAAACAATCTTCCTCGCGTTATGGATAATATTTTCAAATGAAATTTTCGGGTTTTTTGAAGGGGCGGCACATAAATAATTCCGGGAACGAGCGCCCTAATGGTCACCTTAGTAGAGCATGTCCGCTTCAAAAAGAAAATAGTAGGCGGAAAAATAGACTAGGAAAAAATATCCCACACACCCAAAACGTGCGCAAACCCATCGAACTTCAAAATTTTCCTTATTCTATTTTTTCCGGAATTAAAAAAAAATTCTTTCTTTAACTTTAGCAAAGTGGGTCAGTGGGAGTGAGGAAATTTCACAACTTGATTGAATTTTCGGCGGAACATGAATATTCAGAAACAAAATGACATGAATTTTCAATTTTTCCCTGAATTTTCCTGACTTTTCTGAATTTTCACAGAATAATTGAACTGAAAAATCAAGTATTTTGTCGATTCCCGGATCATTTGAACAGAAAATCAATGGAATATTTCATTTTCAATGAAAAGATGTCCTGAAATTTCAGTGGAACTTGAAAACGATAAAATTTTCCGGCATTTCCCGGAAAATTCTCAACTTAACGAAAATTTTTAACAACGTACACTAAAATTTGCTACGATTTTCCGCGTAATTTTTATCCAAGGTTTCTCCCCGTGTGTTGATGGAAAACCTGTGTACATTCCCATTTTCAATTTTTCCCTCAATTTTCCTGACTTTTCTGAATTTCCACAGAATAATTGAACTGAAAAATCAAGTATTTTGTCGATTCCCGGATCATTTGAACAGAAAATCAATGGAATATTTCATTTTCAATGAAAAGATGTCCTGAAATTTCAGTGGAACTTGAAAACAATAAAAATTTCCGGCATTTCCCGGAAAATTCTCAACTTAACGAAAATTTTTAACAACATACACTAAAATTTGCCATGATTTTCCGCGTAATTTTTATCCAACGTTTCTCCCCGTGTGTTGATGGAAAATCTGTGTACATTCCCATCCACATTATTGCTTTATTTCCCCTCTTTCATCGCATGAGACCGCCCTTTTTTCCCCGTGTCCTCATCAAAAGCCGATTTTCTTCGCATTATGGAGAATATACTCTTCAGATCCAAAAGCCATCTCGTTTCTGATGCACGCGGCACTCTATAACACTGTTCCGGAGACTATACACGCTCTGTGTGGAGTATAAGCCGAAAGGATCTATTCTGAGAGAGCCAAATTCGCGTGTTGCGCCTTCGAAATTCTGAAACCACATTTACGCCGCATACGTGCACGGGGAGTATCTCCGGGGGATTGTGTTGCACATTATCTTGCATAGTCTCGGTCCATCAAATTTGAAACGACCTTGGGGTGCGACGGAGAGGAAAGTGTTTCAAGATCAAACCTTAAATTTAGGAGGAAAATGCTGCATCATTGTTTTGGGTACTAGAGGTGAAGGACTTGAATGCAGAGAATGGGAATTTTCAGTTGGGAATTTTCAGGGTCACATCCAGACATCGGCCTAATCGTAATTTTGAATTAAAGTCAAATTTTGAATGAGTTAATTGTTAGTATTATTCACCAATTTTTTTATTATTAAAATTAACATCGATTTAAATATTTAATATCGTAAGACTTTGGGACTCTGCACACTGCGGAAAATTTAATTTTCAATAGTGTGATGCCGAATTAATCTTTAACAAGTGGCGCTTTCACGGAAATTTCAGCAAATCTTGTCATTGAAACATCATAATTTGATGAGAAAATCAATGGAAACTGTAAATTTTCGTCAAATTATTCAATTGCATCAGCAAAAATTAGGGAAATTCACGCAAGTCGTGAAATTTCTGTCTTAATTCTCCTTCAAACTATTTAAATTCACTTGAAACTATTTAACTACTATTTAACTTTAAACTTCAAACTATTTAATTCACCTGAGACTTGAAATTTTGTACGAAATGGAAGTAGAAGTGAGAGTAGAAATTGTTTTATTTGAAAATACAATTATGGGTTTTATGACTTTGGGAATCTGCATTCTACAGATAATTAAACTTTTAACAGTGTGAGTCATTCAAAATTGATCTTCAACAAGTGACCCTTCCGCTGAAATTTAACAAAATCATCATTTGATGAGAAAGACCAATGG